AGACGGTCCCCAGCATCACTCTCTCCCACAAACCAACCAATTTACAACTATAAAAATGTAACAACAGCCAAGCTGGGACCGCTGGAGCTCAGGGGAAGAGGAGGAAAGATCTATGGAGTTCATGAAGGGGGAGAAGCCACGATGAGAGAAATTAAAAACTGCTTGGAGTGTTTTGGGCCACGGCCACTTTAAGGCTGGAACTACTGAGTGCATGGAGCAGGAGCCGGCAGAAGCCACAGCTGTGCCCTTCGGATGGAGTCACTTGGAGGCGGCAGGAGAGAAGAGAGCCTTGATGGCCCCCAGGACAGCAAGACCACTAATAAGGCTCCTGTGGACCCACATAGGAGGGAGGAGCCAGAACAGCTGAAAAAAGGGAGCCATTCAGAGGCCAGTGAGTCATGGCAAGGGACCAGTGCAGGGCCTGTTCCATGGGAAGTGTTTGGACCATGGGCGGTGGGGGAGGCGGGCCCTCCAGGAGAACACTGGGACACAGCAAGGACAGCTGATCCGTCCCCTAATCAGCACGGGACCACTCAAAGGAGACTGGTCAGGAATGCAGAATTGCATGGGGTGCAGTTTGATGAAAAGATTCAGGCCCAGATTAGAGTTTCTACACAATCCAGGTGCACCAGGTCTCTGGAGAGCCATAAGTACCTATAAGGTCAACCATTTAACCCTGAGCTGCACAAAAAGTCTTCCCTAGAGAAACAGCAGCAAAGCAGCAATTTAGCTCAAAAACACAGCTCAAGTACTGGTTCCCACAGAAGGTTCCCCTGTTTCAGATGTAAGCAAAGGACAAAAAATTAGTTCCGGCCCAGGCACACCACCAGTGCCTCAGGGCCCCACCCGGGGGCCGGCAGCATGGAGCCGTGGACCGGATTCCCCCCCCAACCAGGCACACCTCCAGCGCCAAGGAGCATGCCAAAAACATCACCTTCATGTTGGTGGCTCACCACAGCCACCGCAGTAACCACGGCTGCCGTGAAAGTGTATAGATGTCACGACCACCATGCAGATGGTCCACCAGCCACTGGAGTGCATTCACACAAGGAGACTGACCAGCAGAGACCAAAGAAAAGAAGAGAATGTCTCTCTCCACAAAGCCCGTTCCAGAGTGACAGAAGAAGCATCTGCTCTATGATACTACTGTGGGACCTGAACATACCTTTCAGCATTGGACAGATCATCTAGGCAGCAAATCAACAGAGTAACTATTATTCTTTCAGAGCAAGAGAAGAAATCTAGGGTTATCAGTGGTGGGATGGGGGAGGGAGAGGAGGATAGAGAGAGATTGGATGAGGGGCATAAAGAATAAGTACAACTTGTAACAATATATATACTAGTAATATTGATTTGATCAACATATGTCAACATTGAATCCCCAAAATATGTATAATCAATTATGATTCAATAAAAACAAAAAACAAACAAACAAAAAAAGAGTTTAAAACCTGTACAGACCTGTACCCTATCATGAAACATGTTTAATGTATTTTTTTTTCCTTGATTAAAAAAGAAATACATGCTCACTGCAGAAAACTAGAGAAACAGGTACACAGGGGGGAAATCACTTGTAATTAATTGTACCACCCAGAAATAATATCTACAAAATCTATAATCTATAAAAATAATTTTGCATGTCATTTCTTTTTTCTTTCTTTTTTTTTTATGGTGACTGGCTGATAACAGGGATCCAGACCCTTGACATCGGTGTTACAAGGCTGCACTCTAACCAACTGAGCCAACCAGCCAGCCCCTCACTTCTTTCATTTAACATTTAAAGACAAGCACTTTCTCCAAATTATAGCAATTCTCTATAAAAAATATTTTAAGATACCTGAAACATATGTTCATATGGAAAGGCTAATAATTTTTTTTAAAATTATCATTCTAGTATTGGGCAAATGTTCAAAAGAGTTGTCTAATTTTTTATTGTGAATAAAACAAGGAAGAATACCTTTGTGTATACATCTCTGTCCACATTTCCAATTTTAAAGTGAATTCTGTAAATACTGGATAAATAATATAAATACACTTGATACAGAAAGGCTTATATCAATTTACAAAGGTATGTGAAATTCCCTGTGTTTTTGTTGCTTTAGCAGTATCCTAAACTAAATAATTATTTAAGAAAATCTTTGTTAGGATATCAGTGGTATCTAGTTGTTCCCATAATTTGTATTTCTTAACTGGAACTGACAGTGTTCACATACTTATTAGTTTATTTATTTTATATCTTTTATGAAATGCCTTTTCACATCTTTTTTTCCATATTATTTCTATTAGCTGTTTAAATATTTAAGTTTATCAATCCCTTGTTCTGTTCATTGTGAATACAGTCTGAGGCTTCCTGTTACGTTTCTTTTTTTCTGTTACCACACTACAAACTTACTCTGCTCCCTGTCTGCCCTTACTGATGGGTGGAAAGCTAAAAACCCGAAAACCCACCAAAACATGTTCTTCTCCTTCCCCTTGGTAGGTAGAGGAATGAATGTACCTAGGCTATCTATAAAGAATCACGGCCCTTCTCTGGCCTTATCACTGCCAAGACCCACAGTGCATCCTCCCCTGAGAGTACCTTCAAAACCACAAGTTAGAATGTGATTCTCATTCCTATTTAACAGTGTTAGAAGTGCTAACAAGAGCAATCAGGCAAGAGAAAGAAACAAAGGGCATCCAGACTGAAAAAGACAAAGTCAAACTGTCTCTGTTTGCAGGTGACATGATCCTACATATAGAAAAATCTAAAGATTCTAGCAAAAAACTCTCAAAACTGATTAACAATTTCAGTAATGTTGTAGGACACAAAATCAACACCCAAAAATCAGTAGCATTTTTACTCTCCAACAACGAACCAACAGAAAAAGAAATCAAGAAAGTAAGCCCATTTACAATTGTCACAAAAAACAAACAAAAACCTAGGAATCAATTTAACCAAAGAGATAAAAGATCTCTACAACAAGAACTACAAATCACTACTGAAAGAAATTAAAGAAGACACAAAAAGGTGGAAAGACATTCCATGCTCTTGGATTGGAAGAATCAACATTGTGAAAATGTCCATACTACCTAAAGCAACCTACAGAGTCAATGCAATCCTTATCAAAATACCAATGACATTCTTCATAAAAATAGAAAAAAACAATCCTAACATTCATATGGAACAACAAAAGACCCCAAATAGCCAAAGCAATCCTGAGCAAAAAAAAAAAAAATCCAGAGGTATAACACTACCTGACTTCAAATTATATTACAAAGCTATAGTAACCTAAATAGCATGGTACTGGCATAAAAATAGATACTCAGACCAGTGGAACAGAATAGAGAACCCAGAAATCAACCCACAGACTTACAACCAACTGACCTTTGACAAAGGTACCAAGAACATACACTGGGGAAAAGACTGCCTCTTCAATAAATGGTGTTGGGAAAACTGGACATCCATATGCAGAACAACAAAACTAGACCTATACCTCTCACCATATACTAAAATCAACTCAAAATGGCTTAAAGATTTAAATATAAGAGCTGAAACTATAAAACTCCTAAAAGAAAACATGGGGGAAACACTTCCATGGAAGTAGGAATGGGAAAAGACTTTATGACTATGAGCCCCAAAGCACAGGCAACAAAAGGAAAAATAAACAAATGGGATTATATCAAACTAAAAAGCTTCTGTACAGCAAAGGAAACAATCAAAAGAGTGAAAAGACAACCTACAGAATGGGAGAAAATATCTGCAAACTATACATCTGAGAAGGGATTAATATTCAGAACATACAAGGAACTCAAACAACTACACAGTAAAAAAAAAAAAACAAATGACCCAACCAAAAAACGGGTAAAGGAGCTGAACAGAAGGGATTAATATTCAGAACATACAAGGAACTCAAACAACTACACAGTAAAAAAAAAAAACAAATGACCCAACCAAAAAACGGGTAAAGGAGCTGAACAGACATTTCTCAAAGGAAGACAAATGAATGGCCAACAGGTACTTGAAAAAATGCTCAACATCACTAATCATCAGGGAAATGCAAATTAAAACCACACTGAGATACCATCTCACCACAGTTAAACTGGCAATAATCAAAAAGACTGAGAATAACAAATGCTGGTGAGGATGTGGAAAAAGGAGAACTCTTCTATACTGTTGATGGGACTGTAAATTTGTATAACCACTATGGAAAACAGTATGGAAGTTTCTCAAACAACTATAAACAGATCTACCATATGATCCAGCAATCCTCTTCTGGGTATATACCCAAAAGAATGGAAATCATCATGTCAAAGGGATACCTGCATTCCATGGCCACCACAGCTCTATTTACAATAGCCAAGTTATGGAACCAACCTATATGCCCATTGATGGATGACTGGATAAGGAAAAGTAGTATATATACACAATGGAATACTAATCAGTCATAAAAAATGAATGAATGAATGAATGAATGAATGAACGAATGAAATTTTGCCATTCACAGCACCATGGATGAGTTTGGAGAAAATTATGTTAGGTGAAATAAGGCTGGCACAGAAGGAAAAATACCACATGTACTCACTCATAAGTGGGAGCTAAGAGAGAAAAAAAGACCACGGTAGTGTGTGTTTCACTTCCAGAGGGAGAGAACAGATCAAGGGTTGTGGAGGGTAAGGGATTGGGAAGAGGTTGGGTGGGAGACACGGGGAATAACTGCAATTTGAGGTGGTGGGCATGCTGATAGCATTGATTTGCTGGCAACATATCGGGCACAGGTGCCGAGAGTCAGCTCTGTGCCCCATGAATACATATAATCAATAAAAAAAGTAAAATAAACGTGATGAGATTTAAACAAGATAACATATTTGAAAGTATATTGTAAAGTGCTATATAAATATTATTATGAACAACAATTAATAATAATAGCAGAAGGGAAAGAAATCAACAAGAAGTTTTAGAAATTTTGCTGTAGGAAGAATACAACATGAGACAAAAAAAATAAATTCACTGGAAATCTCACCGAAGATCCAGACCAGCTTCTTTCCAGAGTAAATCCATCAAGCGCAACATTTGGAGTGTCAACATATCCTGTCGTAAATCTAAGGGGGGAAAATGCTGCATTACAAGTGTTTTCCATTTTATGCCTAGTAACTCATTAACTCAAGCTTAGCTAATTCAGTCAGAACTAACTAAAACCATGAATAAATACTGAACTAATTTTTTTCCAAAATTTTAACACTGACCATACTTACTATGTCAAATATTAGGCTCACTGGTTAGCACATCCCTGTAACATTATTTCAGAAATTAAGTAAAAAATAATAATTTTTAATTGTTGAACATGTGTATGCTACTATACTAATTGTATGGATACTATAATGCTGTCTGTATTACACTGCATGTGTATTACCTTTACATTGTTAATTTTTTCCTTCTTGTTTGCTTTTAGGGCTGCACAGGAAGTTTTTAAGAATCACATGAGTAACAGCATCATGTGTCCACAAAACTGTAATAGTTGACTTTATTATCATGTCTAAGGGTGTTTTCAAGGAACAGAGAATGTGAAAGTAGTGATATCATATAATGACATTTGTATCATCAATAGTTAAATGTCTAGCAAAATATTATGAGTTCTGTATAAAAAAGCTATAAGTACACATTATGTTAAGCACATTTACTTATGTTATCACACTTAATTCCCTTTAACAACCCTGAATTACAGATGCTATAATCCTCATGGACACGAAGAATCTGAAGCCCAATGAAATGAGTTTTACATGACTTTCTTGTAGGCACAAAACAAACAAGTCATGACTGCCTTTTAGTTGGTGTGATTACAGAGGCATTTCCTTTATAAAGTTTGCGTCAATGAGAAATTTTTTTTTAAAAAAGATGACCGGTAAGGGGATCTCAACCCTTGGCTTGGTGTTGTCAGCACCACGCTCACCCACTGAGCTAACCAGCCTATATAGGCTCTGAACCCGTGGCCTTGGTGTTATCAGCACCACACTCTCCTGAGTGAGCCACAGGCTGGCCTGTCAATGAGAAATTTTAATGAAAATACAAAACAATGGAAGCAAAATCAATATTGCTATCACTAAAACATGATATACCAACAAATTACTGAAAATATTCTCTTGTAATTTGCAATCTTTTTATCAAAGGAGTAGACAAACTTCGCATTTTGCAAGGGAAAAAAAGAAAGGTTTACTAGAACAGTGTATGTAAGAGAAATGTAGAGGTCATTTCCAAGAGGCAAAAAAAGGGACTTAGGACATGGTGAATTTGACCTTATAATCATTGACAGCTACACTTCTAGGCTGCCAACTGTTACACATCTATACACCACCATTAAGATAAAGCAAAAGGACAATAAATAAAAAATTCTAAGGAATCTGGTGCCACAGAAACCTCATTACTTACCATCACCATTTTTAAATATCACTCCGACTGAATCCTCACCAAATACCTTGTTGTTGTACACCAGCCACAAAGGCTTCATTTTGGAGTCCATGTATTTGCACTTTTCAACACTGAAATCAAATAAAGGAAAAATAAGCTCATGTCAATGTAATGATATAGCATGATTGTAATTTTGACCTCATAAGCCCCTCACTTATTCCTTCAGGTCTGCAGAAGTCAGAGCTAGAAAATTTCCTCTTGGTAGAAAAGCAACCGTGAAGACAGCCTTGGTTGGCACGTACTGATGCCAGATGGGCTGGACTCAAAATCTAGGATCTGCACTTTTCACTGCCTCCACTTAAAATTCCTCCTCTCGTTTCCTTATATTTCCCTAACTTTATGTAATTATATTTAGTGAGTTAAAAAATAAGGATATATCATTAGATTAAAATTAGGAATATTATGAGATCGTTCTAGATTTCTCAAAGAGGAATCAATTTTGAATACTAATATTATACTGAATACACATTATTATTTTTCATTATTACTTTAGTCGGCAATGAGAAAGTAACAAATAAGTTCCCAACTCATTCAAGATCTCATTTTAAAATAAGAAAGTCAATTAGTAAATAATTTATTATGGTTTCCAACATTTTGCTCACATAGGATTTTCAACTCTTAGGAACAAGTAATATAGAAAATAAATTTAATTACATAGTATGGAAAGGAAATTAACTTACAATAACTTTCACTAACCCCACAGGTAAATTCAGCTGATAGGTATACATCCTATTGAATACAAGCATAGTCTCTGAGGACTTTTAGATTTCCTTCCTTAATTACATTATACTAAGACTGACAGCAGTCCCTAAGTAGCTCCCCCAAGGCAGTGACACAGAAACTTTTTCTGCCTTGCTATTTTTCACAGAAGACTCACTGAACAAAGCAAAGACGGTCACTTACTAGAGATCTGAGAGGATGACACATGGGTTCAGAGGTGACTGCAGATCAGAGAGAGCTTCTCGGTAAGCACTCTGTTTTAAACAGGTGTGCATGGCCTCCTTCCCTTTAGCTCTGTTTAGCTTCACTGCATTCAATTTGATTAAACTATTTAAAGTTTTTAACTTATTGAGTGCTTCAACCTGAAAAGTAAATTCCCCCACCCCCAAATTCATTAATGGTTAAAAATAATACAATGGAAGTCAGATGATTATATTAATCAGTAACACCCACCTCAACACACATTTACACACACAACAACCAGCTGAAGTAAAAACAGTGTATGGCTTGTGGCAAACATTCTACATACAGTAGAATAAAAAACTAATTTTTAACATGTGTTACTTAGGCACCATTTTCAAACTTTCTTCAAACCTTTTCTTAAATGAAATCTTATAAATTAGAGAAAAGCAAACAGACATAGTTGTGGGTATTTAAAAAGATAAGTATGGAATTTAAACTACTCACAACTCTGCAGTTAAGTGAGTAACAGAATTTGAACCATCACTAATCTGAACCGCTCCACTTGGCCTATTCTGCAGTAAAAGAGGAAAAACTATATAGAAGTAACCCTGGGGCCGGCCCGGTGGCGCACTGCTATAGTGCGCCGCTTGGGAAGCGTGGCGGCGCTCCCGCTGAGGGTTCGGATCCCACATACAGACCGGTTCCCGCTCACTGGCTGAGTGAGGCGCGGGAGCAACACCGAGGGTTGCGATCCCGTTGCCGGTCCCGGTCCGGTCCGGGGGCAACACTGAGGGTTGCGATCCGTTGCCGGACACGGAAAAAGACAAAAAGGGAAAAAAAAAAAAAAGAAGTAACCCTGAGGTTCCTGATATTCAACCTTAATATCTTCCTCTTGTCATCACTCTTGTATGACATCTCCTCAGTGTATTCTCCTTCCATTAATAGGACAGCTAGAATGAATTATTCTGTAATAAAGTAAGTGTGAATACAGATACAGTATCTGTTGTCCAAATCTAAAACTACTTGATTTTATAAAGAGGTAACTCTGGCTATCAAAACTTATGCAAAAAAAATTATGCAAGTTGTACAAGGTGTATCCACAATGGCCAACTAAATCAAAAACCATTATGCTTAAAAGTCAAAGTCAACTGTATTTATTTAATAACTTTTCATGTCATATTATTTATTATGGAAAATTCATAAGAAACAGCCTCAGCCAATATAAATCAAAAGGATCATTTTAGTTCAGATCTCCATACCAGCCAGCTTCCAAAATAAATAAATAAAACAATTAAAAATTAAAACAGAATTATATATAACAAATAAAATATGTATAAAATAAACACATAAAATATGTATAAAACAAACATAATGAACACTATGGCTTGAAATTCTATGAGCAGATTTACTTTATATCATATTTCCATTCTTGAACTCTGCTTCTATGCAAGAAAACCAGTAAAATTATGTGGGGAGGTGAATTCATGCAGTTTCTACAGACAGGCTGAGACCTTGCTCACAGGAAACTAGGAAGGTTCTATGCAGCCTGATGACAAAATCAAGATTTTTTTTGTTTGTTTGTTTTTCTTTTTTGTCTTTTTCCGTGTCCGGCAACGGATCGCAACCCTCAGTGTCGCCCCTGTACCGGACCGGGAGCAGCGAGATCACAACCCTCGGTGTTGCTCCCGCGCCTCGCTCAGCCAGTGAGCGGGAACCGGTCTGTATGTGGGATCCGAACCCTCGGCGGGAGCGCCGCTGCGCTTCCCAAGTGGCGCACTATAGCAGTGAACCACCGGGCCGGGCTGAAAATCAAGATTTTTTTTGTTTGTTTGTTTTTCTTTTTTGTCTTTTTCCGTGTCCGGCAACGGATCGCAACCCTCAGTGTCGCCCCTGTACCGGACCGGGAGCAGCGAGATCACAACCCTCGGTGTTGCTCCCGCGCCTCGCTCAGCCAGTGAGCGGGAACCGGTCTGTATGTGGGATCCGAACCCTCGGCGGGAGCGCCGCTGCACTTCCCAAGTGGCGCACTATAGCAGTGAACCACCGGGCCGGCCTGAAAATCAAGATTTTTTTTTTCCTTTTTGTCTTTTTTCTTGACCGGCAATGGATCGCAACCCTCAATGTCGCGCCTGTACCACCGGCAACGGGATCGCAACCCACGGTGTTGCTCCCACACCTTGCTCAGCAAGTGAGCGGCCGGTCTGTACATGGGATCCGAACCCTCGGCGGGAGCGCCGCCGCGCTTCCCAAGCGGCACACTGTAGCAGTGCACCACCGGGCCGGCCCGAAAATCAAGATTTTGACAGATGCTAAGTTAGCCATCTGTCAAAATCACAGACACTCCACTTCTTTAGGAGCTATACAAACACTGGTGTCAAGGGAACCAGATGAAAACTGAGCTATGTAAACAGGAACTTTTTGAAGTATTTCAAATTTGAATTTCTTCTGTGTGTGTACAGTTGGGAACTCTTGTGCTCCATCTCTAACTGTGCAGATAGTCATTTCTTGGAACAGTGTCCTGAATACCCCCATGGCCATAAGTCAAATAACTTAAGTGTTTCAACACCTTGTCTTTTCTTAGGTTTACAGTGATAACAGGAGCTACCATGTAAAGGGTAAAGTCTTCCTCTTACAACTCATCAGTTACAAAAAAGAGTAAGAATAATCTGTTCATACATATGTCATCCCTTTGTTATTATACAAGTCAAGCTGATGTTCCCAGAGAACTGAGAAAATATGCAGTGTGGTTTAATCACATGAGTGAGGGAGACAGTGTTCATATGATAAGGTCAAACAAGTAGGGACCAAGTAGGGCTTTACAGGATTTAGTGAAAAATTTAGATTTTATTCTCAGTACAATGAAATTTTTTTACAGGGATTTAAAAAGGGAAGTAACATAACATAATCTATATTTTTATTTATTTATTTTAAAAAATTTTTTGGCGGCTGGCTGGTATAGGGATCTGAACCCTGACCTTGGTGTTATCAGCAGCACATTCTAACCAACTGAGCTAACTAGCCAGCCCTAATCTGTATCTTTAAAAGATGACTTTATCTGCTGTGTAGAGAATATGGGAGGAGATGCAAGAAAGGAAAGAGGAGATTAATGAAGAAGTCCAGGTGAGAGAGGTTTTAGACTAGGATGGTAGCTTCTGAACACAAGAGTTATGGGCAGATGTGAGGTATTCTTGAGAGATCTATAAATTTAAGAGGATTCATAATATTGATCTTATGTTGCTGTGAAGAATAAATGGCCTATAATAAATGAATAAATGTTAGCTATTATTACCATCATTAATAGGCTTTCTGAAAGGAAGGGATCAGAGATAGTTGTTTTAACATGAAAAATCCTAAATATTAAAAACATCTAATGGAAATCAAAGACAGTTCCTCTGACAATGCAAATGAGTTAGAAAAGTGTAGTGTAACTGGCAACTACTATAGACATCAGATATAAAAGTTGGGTAGGACACCAGAGAGGTACAGGAGGGAAGATTAGGGGTGAGGAAACAAAAAGCTTTCAAATGAAGTTAGCAGGTTAGAAGAGCTAGCAAAGTAGGTGAGCCTTTGCCATAAGGTGAAAATAACATGCCAGAAAGTAAAGCTTGGGAGAGATTTTCTACTACTACAGAAAATTGCAGCTAAGTGGGTTCAATTTACTAGTTTCAGGTTATATCAGCAAGATGAAACTACTCTGATAATATTTACTAGTCATCTACAGTTAGTTCTCTGATGTTTACCCCATTGCAATAAGTAGGCAGTAAACCTTCAAAATTCATCTCTAACATGCACCCACAGACCTAGCCACACTGAAGGTGGCAATTTTCCCAAAACTTTCCTCAGTGCTCGTGACATCTGTGAATTCTCCTATAGGAGAACTATAATCTCTTCCAGCCTTCTCCAAGGAACCTATGATCTTTTACCAAAGTAACTGTGCACTGGAAAAAAGTAAATACAGTCATCCCTTGGTATCCAAGGGGGATTGGTTCCAGGAGCCCCACGCATATGCTCAAGTCCCATAGTCGGCCTTGTGAAACCTGGGGACTCCATATATGCAGGTTCCACATTCTGTGAATACTGTTTTCTATCTGCAGTTAGCTGAAAAAATCTGTGTATAAGTGAACCTGAAAAGTTCAAACCAGTGTTGTTCAAGGGCCAACTGTAACAAACCTTTTGGGTACAACTGGACACTAGCTCTGATCTAACACTATTTCCAGGAGACTCAAAACATCACTGTGGTCCACCAGTCAGAGTAGAGGCTTATGGAGGTCAGGTATCAATGGAATTCTCTAGCTCAGGTCTTGCAGTGGATTGCCAAACCCATCTTGTTATTTCTCCAGCATTTAAAAAAAATTTTTTTTAGTTTTATTTTTTTCAGTGTCCCTGAATCTGCTAATCCCCAACTTCTGAATGCATAATTAGAAAAGGAATACTCAGCAGCTGGCAGAATCCCCACACTGGTTCCCTGACTATCGAATAAGGGCTATTACGGTAGGAAAGGCCAAGTGGAACCCTTTAGAACTGCTTCCACCTAGAAAAATAATATATCAAAAGCAATACAACATTCCTGCAAGGAATGAAGAGATTAATGACACCATCAAGGATTTGAAAGATGCAGTGGTGGTGAGTCCCTCTATAACCACATTCAACTTACAATTACTTAGCTATATAAATCAGGATTATCCTCAAAGCAAAATACAGAAATAAACTGGATACTAAGACTGCAAATGTCAGCAATAACCCCCAATTTTGAAATGCTTTGTTCCATAAGACAACTTCATATTTCTCTTCAATGGCTTATGTATTATTTTAGCTTTAAAAAAAAAAGCTTTAAAAAGCTTCTACATTCATACTGATAAAATAGGTAATTTATATATTGGAGTTCCGTGTAAGTTTTGATTAAAGAAAAAGAAAGAGGTGTACTTCTAAAAAGGTTTGAAAACTCTCAGTATAATACAAAGAACTTTAGCTTTATAGCTGAACAGACTTAGTTTTGAAAATTAATCCTGTCACTTAATAGCTGCAGGTTTTAAGAAAGTTACTTAATCTGTTGAAGCTTCAGTTTCTCCCTCTCTCTGTCAAATGCGGTAATATTGGTAATTGCTTTAGCTCATCATTAGGAGAGTAAAATAAGACAACACACTTAAAACAGTATGTTTCCTGGCATGTGGTAAGCATTTAATAACTTACTTAATATCAATACCTTAGGACTGCAGGATAGTATCACAATTTCAGGCATGCACATATCATCTGAAAAAGCAGCTTGAGGACTCTGAATTCTAGAAACTATAACGCCTGTGAATGCAGGTCTCAAAAAATTTTTTTTTTTTCTAAAAGATGACTGGTAAGGGGATATTAACCCTTGACTTGGTGTTGTCAGCACCATGCTCACCAGTGAGCTAACTGGCCATCCCTATATGGGATCCGAACCCGTGGCCCTGGTGCTAACAGCACCACACTCTCCTGAGTGAGCCATGGGCCGGCCCTCAAAATATTTTTTTAAATTTTTAAAAAAATTTTGGGTGTCTGCCAGTATAGGGAGCCAAACCCTTGACCTTGGTGTTACAGGGCCATGCTCTAATCTACTGAAGTAACTGGATAGCCCCTCAAATTATTTCAAAATAGAATTTAAGATTCATATATGTGGCAGAGTATATAAATCAAATACTATACTAACTGGAAAGCGTAACTCAAGGATATGAAAAAACAGAGTCTAAAGATTTCATGACCATGTCATCATCACCGTCATACCTATTGTTAAACATGTATAAGCAGGAATATTCTATTAAAATTTAAGACATGCTATTAATATAAAAAAAATATGAGGAATCCTCACTAATTATTTTTCAGGTAGTAATGGGTTAATGTTTTTCTAAGTTTGTCACAACTTCATTTCTTGACTTAAAGAATTCTTTTCTGATATAAGAATGTAATAATTAGGTTCAGTTACTAAAATCTCTATAAAGTAATGTCATGGGAGAGAAGGCACTTGATAGAACTGATTAAACACCATGAACCAAGCTGAAAATGATGATTAAAACAAGCTGATACCTGTTTGGAAAGTACTTTCATGTGCCCTACGCTTCCCCGGCAGTATGCTTCAAGGATGACACCAAATTGTACTGAGACGGCAGGAATGTGCACTTCAGACCTGCAGAAAGTTAATAATATCCAAATAGTTTGCTTTACAAGTACTTCAGATGACCAAATAAAAATACTGACTTTTTTATTCTACTATGAAATAAACTTATAATGCCAACCAAAGAAAAGAACTTCAGAGTTCAAAAAGTTATGAGATTTTATACTTAGTTAATTCTTTATTCCAAGAAATCTAAAATTTTCACATCCTTACCCAATTTGGTTTTTGGAGGGAAAAGGTAATCTAAACAGTGTGGAGACAATAAGGCTAAAAGAGAAATCTATAAAATATGACTGGCATCTTACAATTCACTAATGCATCAATTAGCTTCTATTCAATTTTTTCTCATTTAAAGAATGGTGTACACATTTGAAAAAGGAAGGAGTATTTTATTTTGTTGTTCCCTGAGGGGGTTAAAAAATTGAACTGGATAAGAAAAGAAGACATAAAAAACAAGAAAGAAAAATCTGTTAGTAATAAGGAAAGCAAATATCCAGAAATATAATACCTAAAATTAATATCACAATATTATAGAGCTTATTTTTTTTTGAGAAGCTCAGCCAAAAAGAAGAAAGTTATTTTGTTTTATTTATAAGCACTAGCTTCAATACTCTAAAGTCCAGGGGCCAGCCCGGTGGCGCACTGCTATAGTGCGCCGCTTGGGAGGCGCGGCGGCGCTCCCGCCGAGGGTTCGGATCCCACATACAGACCGGTTCCCGCTCACTGGCTGAGCGAGGCGCGGGAGCAACACCGAGGGCTGCGATCCCGTTGCCGGTCCCGGTCCGGTACGGGGTCAACACTGAGGGTTGCGATCCGTTGCCGGACACGGAAAAAGACAAAAAAAAAAAAAACAAAAAAAACTCTAAAGTCCAGACTTAAAAAAAAAAAAAAAGAGTATAGAGGAAGAAATGAGGACACTTTAAATTTTCCTAGGATATGGGTTGGCCAGTGGCTCACTTGAAAGAATGTGGTGCTGATAACACCAAGGCCATGGGTTCAGTTCACTATATAGGGATGGCTGGTTAGCTCATTTTGGAGAGTGTGGTGCTGACAACACCAAGTCAAGGGTTAAGATCCCCTTACTGGTCATCTTTTAAAAAAATAAATAAATAAAATTTCTTAGGATACAAAACAATGACTTCACTTCTCTTTCCAGATTTTATCCTATATGAACTTAATGAAAAGGTTCATGCATTTCTGAAAATGACCTAGTTAATAAAGAATCTGAAAATAAAATTGCTATTGTTACAGTAAAATTTATCTTCACTCAACAGCAGCAGTGATAATAATACCACCCACACAATCTTCTGAAAGGAAGAAATAAGTATGCATTTAACCCAAATATATTAAGACAATAAGCATACTTTACTGGAAAATAGCAATACATTAATTATTAGTTTTAGTTAAAAATCAAGGAGGCATGGGGAGAGACATCTGAATTACTTTGCCAAATCATGCAAATCAAGAAACTGGGTATCAAGAAATAGGGGAAGGCACCAAAAAAGTGTAAATGTTATAGATGGCCCAGAAACCACTAAAGAAGCTGACTGTTGTGTTAAATGTCTTATATTATGCTAGTTTATATTCACTAAAACAAACAGTGAGCTTAAATTGAAATATAAAAGACTTACCTAAGATGCCAAAATAGAAACTGCCCTATTCTCCGATTAGCAAGTGCTCTTTCTAATAGGAATCTGGAGAGGGCACAATCAAGAAAAGGCTCATATTTTAAAACTTGCACCAGTTGTAAAAGATACTGAGAGAGTTCTTCATCACTGAAAGAAACAAAAGACAGAGTAAGGCACTTAATAACCTGTGTCACAAAAAGATCCCTTCCTATCAAACTATCAAATGCTAACTTATTGAAATACAATGGTTCTTTTGGGCCAAGCTTGTTACATGCTTACATTCACTGTACCACTGTTACAGTATCACAACAAAAGCTAACAATTTCAGATAGGGGAAAGAGAAGTGGAGAGGACCAAAGAACAGATATATGGGACATTTTAATCAAATGAATTAGACCATAACAATTGATTGTGGTATTTACAATCAGCCAAGAGTTACCCAAAAAAGTACATACTTTAATACTGATTTCTGATCATGCTTAAAAACTTACGTATTTGGTCAAGCAATCATTTTTAAAATAAAAATTCCACCAGCACTTTAGAAATATAATTTTGTGAAGTATGCATAAAACAAATGTACTTCACAGGGCCTGGTTTTCCAAAGCTTTGCAGTTTTAAATATTGACCTTGCAAAGGACAGGAAATTTTCCCCAGGCTATATAGTCTCTGTTGTAAGATAAAGAATTGTAACACAGCAAGGTTGCTGGCTCAAAGACAGACAGGTTACTTACTGACTGATATGTAAAGATACTGAAAAATTGCTGTAAGAAAAGAATGTTTGTTAAAATCAAGCTTTTGTTAGTGGATCGACTTAATTGCGTTACAGAATGTCACCTTGCTTGTCTTACTGAAGGTTACCAGCTTCTACTGTTAAAATTGTTAAACTGTACTTAAAAAGAACCCCACCTATGTTCTCTTCCTGTAACTTCCTGGTCTAAAGAATAAATGTGGGAAGAGAACCCCTATTCATGGTTAATTTCCCAAATGGAAGGAATGCCTCTATCTTGAGGGTTCCGGGAGATTAACCCCTTTTCGAGGCTTCTCACTGCTCAGAAGAGATGGGCTTTGGGTAATCTTTGGAGGCTCTGTCACCCAGGGAAAAAGGGGTGACAAATCCATGGGAGACAAAGCAATAAATGGTTACCCTGATGTGATAAATTCTGGGTCCACAGATTGGAGACCAACCTGCCAAGCCTTGGAAAGGAAAAGAAAGAGCAGGTCCACCACTCATCCCGAAAAAAGGGAGGCCCCAAAAAAGGTGGGGAAAGAAAGAGGACGTCTGCCACTCATCCTGACTAAAGGGAGGCTCCGACAAAAGGGGGGAAAAAAACGCCCGAAAAAAGGGAAAGGACATCTACTCATCCCGTCAGAAGGGAAATCCTGGTAAGGGGGACTCACCTCGGTAAAGGGGATCACAGAGGTGGCTTTCAATTAAACGACTGCACACCTGCTACAGCGTCTAGCTAGGGCTTTGCCCGGAAGTTTTGTTTTCTTACTCTCTCAATTTTCTATCTAGTCTTGGAATTACAGGTAGTTTAATGCCTAAGAGGGAAGTTCAACGTAGTACAGTCCTTCTATGTCTCCTTAAGACAGTAGTTTATAAAGTAACTAACCATCATCTAACTAAATTATTATTGATTATAGTGGTTTGGAAATTTTGTCAAATTGCTTTAAAAATTTTTCAGAACCTTAACAAAAGGAAAAAACGTGTTTATGCCATTAAAGAGAATGAAAAACAATCCTCGCATCCTCCTCCTCCTCCTCTACCCCCATCTCCACCTTTGGAGGCAAACAATTCATTTGTTCCCTTAATGGAGTCCTGTCTTAAAGAAGACATAACATGGGAGTTGATGCTCGTCATATCTTTCCTGTTGTAAGAACTAGGACTCAGTTGAGACATAAAAACCTCCCATTCTCCTTGTTTAAGGGCTGGCCCCGGGACAGTGCGGCTCTGGTAGCGCCAAGGCCGCAGGTTTGGATCCTACATAGGGGTGGCCAGTGCGCTCGCTGGCTGAGCATGGCGCAGGCAACACCATGCCGAGGGTTGCAATCCCCTTACCGGTCAAAAAAAAAAAAAAAAAAAAGATTTAAAAAGAGCATAACAAAAAATGGCTTACATAGTACTTTTACTAAGGAATACTTAGAATCAATTACTAATGGGTATAATATGACTCCTTGGGATTGGAAAACACTTGGAAAAACTGTTTTAACTCTTGCTCAATATACTGTATGGCTACAAAAACATCAGAAAGCCTTACATGCTATTTCACTCAAAAATTTAGAAGATGAGGTCCAAATTAACATGACATGTTACTTGATCAAAGAACTAGAGCAGCCATAAAGGCTTGGGACAAAATTCCTGAAACAAAATCTAAACTTCAACCTCTTGCTTCCCCTGATGCATTTTGGATACAAAAATTAGATAAGACTCAGCCAATGTTGACATTATCTGTTGAACAAAAATTAATTACAGATTCGGGGGCTGATGTTACCATAATTGCTAAAAAGGACTGGACTCCATTATGGAAAGTAACTTCTTCACCAGTTACACTTACTGAATTAGGCAGGTTCAAAATCCCTCATCAAAGTAAAAATCCTTTGTTGTGTACTGGCCCCAAGGGACAACGCCTTATGTTCCAGATCTACCTCAAACTCTAGGGGGCCAAGACCTCCCTGCTCAATGGGATATTTATGTTGGGACATCTCCTTCAAAATTTATGATGATGGCCACGGCCACACTCCCATCATTCAAATTATGATGGACCCCTGGTCCTCCGGTTTGGGTGGAACAGTGGCCTCTTAAAGGGGAGAAATTAAATCAAGCTATTTTACTTGTTACACAACAGTTACAAATGGGACATTTAGAGCCATCATATAGTCCCTGGAATACTCCCACTAAATCTTTGCTACTGTTAGACAGGGACCCACTGTGCCTTTTATAGATTTTATTAATCATCTTTAAGATGCTATAATGGACAAATTGATAATGCTCATGACAATCCAGAACTGCTATCACAAGTTTATTTATACTTAGTCAAAAAAGTTAATAATGCTGGTTTACAAGTAGCTCCAGATAAAATTCAAAAAAAGGAGCCTTGAAAATACCTTGATTTTTTAATCACTCAGAGAAGTATACGGCCATAAAATACATCTTTCCATATTCAGGAGGCTTTTACTTTAAATGACTTACAAAAATTACTTGGCCACATTAACTGGCTCCGCCTTTCTATGGTTCCAACTTATCAATTACAATATTTGTTTAACACCCTGAAGGGAGACCCTGATCTGTTCTCCCCTCGTTACTTACCTGAAGAAACAAAATTAAAATTAAAACAGACTGAATCCTTTTTACATCCCAGACAATTAACATGTATTGCTAAATCTCAAGTCATTCATTTAATTATTTTAAACACCCCACATAGTCCCAGAGGTTTGCTTTGTCAATTTCCTCCTCAAATAGGAGTCACTGAATGGATTTTCTTACTCCATCACCAAAAAAAGAAATTATATACTAACTTAGAACAATGTATTCATTTACTCACTAGGGAAAGACACTATTGTCAAGTACTTAGGGGTATGCTCATGATATTATTAATCCTGGTCTTTCTAAAACTGATTTTTACACTGCCCTTGAACAATCAGAGTCTTTACAGATAACTATGGCTGATTTTGTTGGTAAGATACAATCCTCATTACCCCAGAATAAAATTTTACAAGGACTCCAAATACTGCCATACAATTAAAATTCTGTGTATCCCCTATTCCCCTCCCTCAAGTGCTAACTGTGTTTATCTATGGTTCTGACAGATCAGGAAGGGGATCTATAACATGACAGAAACAGGGAACCTGGGAACATTTTGTTACTATTCATCATAAGTCCACCAAAGGGCTGAATTGACAGCTGCCATTGCAGCTTTACAACATTTTTACAATCAGCCACTTAATTTAGTAGCTGACTCTGCCTACATAATTGGAGTCTTACAGGTAATTCAAGATGCATCTATCCATGAGGGGAATGATTTTCTTTTATTTAAAATGTTTTGGGGCCGGCCCGGCGGCGCTCCTGCCGAGGGTTCGGATCCCATATACAGACCGGTGCGCTCACTGGTTGAGCGCAGGGCGGGCGCGACACCGAGGGTTGAGATCCCTTTGCCAGTCGCGGTGCGGGCGCGACACTGAGGGTTGCGATCCCGTTACCGGTCATGAAAAAAGACAAAAAGGAAAAAAAAATGTTTCAACACTTACAAAAACTTACTCAAAAAAGACATCATCCTTTCTGCGTAACTCACATGCAATCTCATTCTGGTCTTCCTGGCCTTTTATCAATTGGAAATGATATGGCCAATCACTTTGTTATGTATAATAATGTTTTACAGAAAGCTATTGATTCTCATCAGTTTTTTCATCAGGGTGCACAAGCTTTGGCTAACATGCATCAGATCTCTTACAGGTAAGCTCAAGATATTGTTTGTGCTTTTCCCGATTGCCAGACGTTTTCTAAATCTAATTTCCCTGGAGGAGTTAACCCTCAAGGAATAAAAGGTAATGAAATTTGACAAATGAAAGTCACTCATTATTCTACTTTCGGATATCTTAAATATTTACATGTTACTGTTGATACTTACTCTGGTCTTATTCATGCCACTGCCCAAACATGCTAAAACATGTTAAAAAACTGCTAAACATGTTAAAAAACATTGTCTTTCTGCCTTTGCTGCCATGGGGATTCCAAATCAAATTAAGACAGATAATGGACTGGCATACATCTCCAAAGTCTTTCAAGTATTCTGTGACAACTGAAACATTAAACATGTCACAGGAATCCCATTTAACCCCACTGGCCAGGCAATTGTTGAAAGAACTATTGGCCTTCTTAAATCTCAAATAAGTAAACAAAGGAGGGGTAATATAGATATAGGACTGGCCCCTCAAGAACAGGTCTTTAAAGCTCTGTTTACACTAAATTTTTTAAACTGTGATTCCCCAAAATTAATGGCCACAGAACGACACTTTATACCTCCTAAAAAGAGACCTAGACCCTTGGTTTTATTCCGCCACCTGCCAATGGGACCACAATGGTTGAGACCTGCCAAAATGTTAACATGGGGGAAAAGGTATGTGTCTGTTCTCTCACCCACAGGCCCGCT